TAAGTCAATTTGTCCGCGTCATCGCACTTGTTGTTTGCGCTCACCAGTTCATAGTTAGCGAACCAGTCTTCCACGTCGGTCTCATCAGCTCCGCTAAAGACCTTGGGCTCTCGCAAACGAAGAACGCCGGGGTTGCTGGGGGATGGAGTGGAAGAGCCAGGTTGCGCGTTGTTGGTAGCTATGATGGGAGGTAGCGTTCGGTTGCGCAGCTCCAGGTTCAGGCGACGGCGAATGGCAGCACCCAGGTTCAGGCGACGGGGAATGTCAGCACCTTCCACCAATTGAAAAAGGGTTTATTGACGACTGTTGCGACGGTGGTCCTACGAAGAAACACGATCGTGCAAGAGTAACGGTCAAGCAGATGCCGGCGATGATCAGCACGAGCCGAGCGAGCGAAGCCCAGCACCCAGTACCCAAGCGGTGTCGATGTTGCTTGCCAACGACGCTCTTTCTTCTTCACAATATATATATATATATATATATATATATATATATATTGAGAGCATTCATTAAGCGCTTCTTTTCATACATGCATTATCATAATCATCATCATCCGTCTGGGTCCCAGTCCTCATCTTCACAATCATCATCGAATGTGTGCTCACTCAGTTTCAGACTGCTCGTTCGTTACTGAGCCCTTGGCTAAATAAAAGCTGTCTCAACCCAGACGTCATACGTGGTGGAGGTAGATTTTTGGTCAACGGTCCTCTCCCACCTCGCTCGACTCCTTGGAGCTGCGTTCAGGCCGCCGATCACCCCCCCCCCCCCCCTGTCTGGTAGCATGTTACAGAACGAGCCTGCCGGCCCTGCTGCCATCACTGCTGCCATGTCTTTCCCGCCGTCTTCAGCCGCGGCTCCTGTTTACGTACAATGGTACCAGCGTGATCCCCCTTTCTTCGCCGGTCGTCGGGGGGGAAGACGTAGAGGACTGGCTTGATGAGCACAGTCGCGTGAGTGTTGCTAATCGCTGGAACGATAGCGCCAAGCTCCGTTACGTCTCCTTCCACTTAACCGGCGTGGCAAAGACGTGGTACTTTAACCACATCATCAATATAACTGACTGAGTGACCTTCGAGCAGCAGCTCCATCACGTTTTCGGCACACCGGCCATTCGGTCCGCAGTCGCGAGGAGAACTCTCGACACTCGCCAACAACATTCCGGTGAGTCGTACACGTCGTACATCGAGGACGTTCTTGCGCTCTGCCGGCGGCCCTATTCATCTATGCCGGAGTCCGACAAAGTACGCCACATTTCCAAAGGGCATACGTGCTGTTGCCTTCAATGCCCTGGTTGCTCAGAACCCGGCTACCATAGCCGACGTCGTCACGACATGTCAGGGCCTCGATACTCTGGACTCGGTTCGTCTACAACCAGACATAGGTGAACAATCTAACAGATCTTTGCGTGACCTGATAAGAGACATAATACGTGAAGACTTGCAGAACCTGGGTTTCACACCTTCTCCACCATGTTCTCCACAGTCTACTGGAGCGGCATTACGCGACATTATCAGAGAGGAACTGACATCTCTGAGCTCTCTGGCTCACGTTCAGTCACCCTCGTCTTGGCCCATACGAACCTACGCGAAGGTCGCTGCTATGCTTCCGAGCAAGGTAAACACGACATTGCCGCTGCCATCGTACGCGTCGATTGCTGCCGCTTCTCCCCTCAACTTTTGTTCAATCCCGCCTGACCCTTCCTCTTCACACCTGACGGCACTCTCTTCAGGTACTCCGCATGGTTTCTACCCTTCCCCCTGGCTCTCATCTCGCCCAGTTTGCTATTACTGTGGGTATCGCGGCCACGTTTCTCGTTTCTGCCACAAGTGCCAGCAAGACGATCACCACGGTTATGACATGCGTGAACGAGATACTTTTAATTATCAAGGTCAACGTCATTTATCACCTCCACGCCGGTCTCCCTCTCCGCCCGTATCAAGTGCACCTCGGAACAGCCGGAACTCTAGACGCCGTTCACCATCACCCTTTCCCCGCTCCTTCTCCTCACTTCAGCCTGCCTCATTCTTCACTGCCAGTCATTCGGAAAACTAAGTGATGCAGTTTCTGAGGGGAAAACTGCATTCCGAATTAGGACTGACATTCCTCCACCAGGCCTGTGCAACATGATTACGGTGGTAGTGGAAGGAGTGTACGTGGATGCTCTAGTGGACACGGGTGCAGCATTTTCTGTTATGCGTGCTGATTTAGAACAACGTCTGAAAAATGTAATGACCCTTTGCTATGGGCCCACGTTGGTTGCTGCCCAGGGGTGTACCATTAGCCCTGCCGCTTTCTCTACAGCCCGCGTTTTTATTGATGGTATCCGACACCACATTCAGTTCGCCATCCTGACTGACTGCTCTCACCAAATAATTTTAGGGTGGGATTTTCCTTCTTCTGCCTCCGTGGAAATTTGCTGTGGCCAACGCGTCATCCACCTCACCGACACGGACTGCACGCTCGACTACGACCCCCAGAGGCCACTTCGTTTGACAGCTGCTGAAGGTACCGAATCACCACCAGGTCAAGAGCGAATTGTAACTATTATCTCCAAGGACATCAACCATGGCGACGTCTTGGTCTCACCATCATTTAGTTGCGTCGGTAAAGGCATCATTCTCGCGTCCGGTTTAGTTCGGTTTCTCAATGGTTCCGCAATTGTCACCGCTGTGAATACAGCATCAAAAAAAAATTCTACTTCCCCAGAACATTACGGTGGCCTGCATGGTGCATTTCGAGCCTGCGTGCGTCGTGCCACTTCATGCCGTCTCCTTCAACGACAGCCCTAGGGGTGAGCCTACTTCTTCTTCCACCTTTACTGCAGCCATTAGCGACGGCTTAACACCTTCACAGACGCAACAGCTACTTGCTTTGTTAAAGAAACATGCAAGTTCCTTCGATGTTTACTCCTCGACGTTGGGCCGCACGACTACTACAACGCATCGAATCCACGCAGTCAGAACATCTGTTGTACGCCGCCAGCCCTACCGCGTGTCTCCTTCTGAGAGAAAAATCATCGAAGAAAACATAGCTGACATGCTCAAATGAGAGGTAATTCGCCCTTCATCAAGCCCTTGGTCATCGCTTGTGGTTCTGGTTTGCAAGAAGGATGGCTCCGTGTGTTTTTGCGTCGATTACAGGGCGCTAAACAAGGTCACTCGCAAGGATCTGTACCCGATGCCTCGCATTGACGACGCCCTTGATTCTCTACAAGGTCCGAAATACTTTTCCAGCCTCGACCTGGGTTCCGGATACTGGCAACTTCCTATGCACAAAGAGGGTAAAGAGAAAACGGCATTCGCGACCCCCGACGGGCTATACGAATTCAAAGTTATGCATTTCGGGCTGTGCAACGCGCCCGCTACATTTGAGCGCATGATCGATACCGGGCTGCGCGGCTTTAAATGGAAGACCTGTCTCTGCTACTTGGACGACATAGTCATTTTTTCGTTAACGTTTCCTCAGAACCTGCAACGTTTGGATGACGTTCTGACGTGCCTTGCCACCACTGGTCTCCAACTCAACACAAAAATTTTCGCCACAAAAGCTATCAAGGTTTTGGGCCACGTCGGGAGCAAACACGGAATTCGCCCAGATCTGGACAAAATTGCTGCCGTGCTTCGCTTTCCGCGCTCCGAAAGGCCGAAGGAGTTGCGAAGTTTTCTTGGTCTCGCCTCTTATTTTCGCCTTTTTATACGATACTTCGCATCAATCGCTGCTCCACTGCACCAGCTTCTTGCTTCCGACGTGCCCTTTCTCTGGTCGGAAGATAGTCAAACGGCATTGGACCTGTTAAAGTGTGCCCTCACGTCCGAATCTGTACTCCGCCATTTTGATGAGGCCGAACCGACCGTCCTACATTCGGACGCTAGCGGTCGCGGTATAGGTGCCGTTCTGTGCCAACGCGACACCTCTTCACAAGAGAGAGTAGTTTCATATGCCAGTAGGATATTAACCACGACCGAGAAGAACTATACCATAACTGAGAAGGAGTGCTCGGCTGTGCTCTGGGCAGTGCAAATGTTCCGTTCCTATCTCCACGGCCGTCATTTCACGATCATTGCGGACAACCATGCCCTACGCTGGCTTTCCACGTTGAAGAACTTGTCTGGACGCTTGGGTCGGTGGATTCTACGTATACAGGAGTATGAATTCGATATCCTTTACAAGTCAGGTAGAAAACACCAAGACGCCGACGCCCATTCGCGCTGCCCGCTACCAAATACCCAGCTCAGCATCGGTCAAAGTTCAGCCATCACAATGTTCTGCAGCTCCCGCGCTCGCCTCAATAGATCAGCTATTATTCGACGACAAGCGCACACTTCACTCGTGTCAGTTGTCTGATCCGTACTGTAGGCATATTATGGACGAGCTCTCAGGAACTTCCCATCTACCCAACGCGCGACGTCGTCAACTCTTGTAAATTAAGCTGGAGAATGGAGTTCTCTACCGTCATATCTACCACCCTGATGGTCAACGCTGGGTTCCTTTGTTACCACACTCTCTTCGACATGACGTGCTTAAAGCCTCTGCTTTTGAGAAGCATTATGTGATTTTCTATGTGAAACGAGACGATTTGAATGCTAAGGTAATGAAAATCAACCACTATTTTTAAAAACACTAGTCGTCTTTATTTTCTGAAACAAATGGAATTCTAACGTTATCGAAATAAAGCATAATCTTTAAAAACATCAGTATTTTTCTTTTTTTCTCGTGAATTATTGTAACATGTTGTTTCAGTACTATCTATTGCTAACAGTTTGACATTATGCATACATATTTTATACAGCAAGGCACACCTCGTTTCATGGCTGATTCCTCATGGTGCATGGAGCCAGTGTTAAAAGGATCAGTCAATCAATCAATCAATCAACTAATCGATCAATCAGTTCAAACGAAGTGAAATTTCCCAGTGCTCGATACCCCCAATTTGTAGGCCAGGCGTTGTCAAAGCTCAACCAAATAACGGTATTGACTGATGACTTCTCTCTCAGATAAGGACAACGACGACCACGATGATGATGACGACAACGGCGAGGGCGACCGTAGCAGGCCGGGCCGCCACGATTCCGGTGAAAGTGACAAGGGAGAGGAAAATGATGTTGTTGATGGAGAAAACCGAAAAAAGAAAGACGAAGACGATGGAAATTATGGAAAAAAAGGGAACGATAATGACCACAATGAAACATGCGAACAACTTGAGTGTGAAAAACGAAAGAAGACGTGTTGCTTGCAGACCTCCGAGAGGTGTTACTGCAAGTGTGGTAAGAATTTTTATTTTTGTGACAAGAAGGAAACATACGAGATAATGTTTTAGAAGCTTTTTTGTTTGGTTTCACTTATAGATTTTCTTTTAGGTTATACACACTGAACGTCAGCCTCGTCTGTGTGTATAATGATCTGTTCATGTTCTGTGTGCGTGTATATGGGTTAAGGCATTTAGCCTAAAACTCTAGCGTCGCCGAAGCAGCAGTTTCAGCAATCAACGATTCTCACTGTACAGATCATAATCATGATTACCTGCAGGATTTCTTAATTTTTTACTATCTGTTTTATGTAGATGTCGTTGACAAAGTACTACCTTGAATACTGCAGTCACTGATACATTTCAGCCGGCAGTTTCAGACATTCCGAAGGATCTATATATGCTGCAAAGTTTAAACAAATGCAATAGTTTTTGTGGGTTAAAATGAATATAGGACTTTTTTGTGAAAGCCTCTGAATATTCTTTAATAAAACGGTTAGAAGTTATCACACTGTTTGCAAAATTGTCAACTTACCAGTCTAAAGATAATTTGAAAATTGTCTTCTTACCATTTCAAAACTGATCGATGAGCATTCGGCTTGAAATCGTTGTTTATTCAGTTTCATCACAACTCGGTTTATACGCGACTGGGCTTCTAAATTTGGTATTCGCAAACCATGGTTATATGAACGAATATACAGGCCTCTTTAGCAAAAGTTTGACTTTATTAGGAAAACTTTGGTCAAACGCAAGCTCCGCCTATAGATTCTATAGGCGGAGCTGCGCACAATTTTTTCAGACATTATATTTATGTCCACCTTTCGCCGACATAACGCAAGCAGCATATGCCACTCGCAACTGCGGTCTTGCAGCCAAACCCACTTGCATGTAATACAGAGACAAACCTGGCACCATACTCAGCACAACAGAAAAAAAAACAGGGTCTATCATACGTCTTTTATGACCAACAGAGGTACGCTATAGTCGATGTGGTGAAAGACTGATGATTACCAGATGAGCCGTCGAGCCTTTAGATATGTACACTATGGTGCGCGAAAGTACACGGACCATTGCTGTTCGTATACCTGTGCAGTAGGTGTATACTAAGGTAAAACGCAGAGCTATTCATAAAGCTCTTCAACTAAGTAACATGTAGATTTCGAGTGTGACCACCAAGGTGACTTTTTTCACGTTAAATATATAGCTTCTTTTTTACAAAATACACTGAATATTTCAATATATCTAGATCATCTTCTATTCATTCAGCGCATCAACTTTTTTTGTTGCCTCAACGTGATGAGTCCACCAATAAATATTTCATTTGTGTCTTTTGATTTTGCCGCATTTCCAAAAATGTGAAATTTTTCGTCAATATTGAATGCTGCTTGTTACAAGGCTGTCCGAAGAATCATTTTACGTAATAAAGCAAATATTTCTCATACCACATACGTTAATTAGCTTGCTGTAAACATCGCTTTATTAGGCCGATAACCTGAACATCCTTTAAAGAAGAGAGTTGCTTGTTGCCTTATAGCTTAACCGGCGCAAAGCAACTAACTGTCATAAATATACGAAAAGTATTTAGCAACAAACGAAAGCGATCAAAAATAACTGTGAAAGTTAGTTCAGTCCCAACAATGAATTTTGAAAAAATGCTGGTCACTTTGGCATCTTATGACGCCTCAAAGTGAATGAATTGTGAATTAACGAGCCAGCGACCAAGTCTCAGCACAAAACGCCAGTAAGAAAGTCTAGGTGACATACATAGTGAGAGCAATATGAAAAAAAAACAATAAAAGAACTGAAAATGCCAAAAGAATTTCAGTTTGAGACTTTTAGTGAATGATTGTATTCACTTGAGCCCTAGATATAGGGTCTCCAGTTTTTTTTTCATCTTTACTCTTGTTTCCCTTTAAGTGTTCTGAGTTTCATTGCAATCAGAGCACTTCAGGTATTCCCCAGTTTTTGAGCTAACGCCGAACGAAATTTTTTTGGCTCAGTATTGTGATATGAGCATAGTTTATATAGTTATAGGCACCCACACATTGAACGCAAGTAGGCAGCTCATGAGGCCTTATGTAAAACATCTGCACAATAGCGTACAGATGGTCATATAGCTGCCAAGGTTATTTGCTGTTAGTTATTACTTACTGTGTTTGTGGTCCTTGCTAGCAAACAGAACAGTGTTGAAATTGTGTTCGCATTACAAATACTTCAGTTAGGGAGCTGTTACCGCAAATAAAGGTAAGCAATTTCTTATATAATTTGATGAAAATACAAACAAGAAAAATTACTTGTTTTGTGACTGTTTAAAAATTCTTACCTCTGATGCTGCCGCTTTTAGCCATGATAGGTAAGCATAAAAACAAGTAATATTATATTTTGCCCAAAAGCTTTGCAAGTCAAATATTTCAGGAAAACATGAACTATATAGGTTCGTCACTATCTAAAGTACAAGCGGTGCATTTCACTAGCACAGCAATACTTAATTCTGAGGGAAATATCTCAACGTATCTACTATAAAAATTGTTAAATGCGACCTTAGCAAACTTTGGTGAGTTTGACCGTATCTATCAAAAAATCTAGCACGCCACCTATGACTTTTCGCTCTCCAGGCTGTTCGGGCGGTGCGGTGGAGATACCAGCAAAAAGGATCACCCGTGCTAATAAATATGTCACACGCCACAACGGCTACGGCGGCAGAACTTGCGGCTTGGCGTGGCGCTCTAGAGTACATCACATTCCAGAGACCGAGTAAATGGGCTGAGTTTTCCGACTCTAAACGAACCTTACAGAGCTTGCAGTCAGTTCTTCATTGCAAAGTGGCTGCGAAGCTTGTTCACTACGTCAGAGTAACAGAACACGAGGTCAAATTTCAATGCAGGCCCACCTGCTCAATGTGGGACCAGTGGCAATGATTCCGTCGACAACGCGGCTTGCACATTTCATCAAGAGCACACCCTTCTGATTCCTTTGTCAAGGACAGACGCTGCAAGGCAACTTCGTAACCGGGCGCAAAGTTAGTGTCTACTAGAGTTGAACACTCCAAGCATAAGGCATACAAGCCTCCACTAAATGAACCCTAGACTGGAACATCCGACCTCAACCCGGACATCGACGACGTGATTGATTGATTTATTTGTAGGGTTTAACGTCCCAAAACGACCATATGTTTATGACAGACGTCGTAGTGGAGGACTCCGGATATTTTGACCACCTCGTGTTGTTTAAAGTGGTCGTCGACGTAAAGCTTCGCTTATTTGTCGGACTTGGTTGGCGGTTGCTTTCACAGATGCCTTTGCAACCCTCATTAGATTAACCGACAGTGCGGAACGCGACGTTTGCGGCACTGAAGAAGACATCCACCATATGCTATGCCTATGTCCTTGATTTGCCTCTGAGGAAGAAAAACTTTCTGACACATTGCGAAAATTGGACGATCGGCCACTCTCTGTGCAGATGCTGCTGGAGCACCGTCCTCGTCCTTCGTCGGCTGAAAAGGCAGTCAAAGGCCCCTCGCGCTTTTTGAAGACTACGGGCCTATGCGAACGCCTTTACCTTTTGTGCAGCGCCAGCGCTGCATACGCGTAGGCCCATTGACTGACAATATTTTGTATCTCTCTCTTCTTTCATCTCTGCCTCATCTTTACACTTCCCCTTCCCTTCCAACAGTGTAGGGTAGGGAACCGGGAATGTGCCTGGTTAACCACCCTGGCATCTCTCTTGTTGTTCTTATCCTTCCTTCCAAGCCGTTTCAATAAAGGGATCTTTGCCAAAATTGGTTTGGCATAACGTGAAGCCATTCGTTCCCATGACATATTGCAAAACTGGTATGTTGTGAGATGACTGCATGGCGCACATAAGTGAAAATGCCGTAAGGTGGAACTCATGACATGATTGTCATGTTAGTCATGACTACACTCATTGCGCGCTCGTGGTCGCTTCGCTAGCTCACATCTAGTAAATTTGATATTACTTGACGTGAATGAATGATGAATGTATATCACTGGTGAAAACGTGTTAATCATGACGAACGTATCATGTAAGAACACGACTCTATGCCATGCTAATCCTGCACTCGCGACCATTACGCTAGCTGCACATATTCAGCGTTGGTAGTACGTGACGTGAATGGACGATGAAGGTAAATGACACGTCCAAAAATGATAATCATGACATGCGCGTTATGTACGAACATGACTACATGCCACGCTTATGATTCGCTCGCAGCCGTTTTGCTGGCTTCACATTCACCAAATTTGTGTTACGTGGCGTGAATGACTGACGAAGGCATATGACTGGTTCAAACATGAAAATCATGATATGCATGCCATGTCAAAACATGATTAAATATGACGCTCCTGATACGCTCGCCGTCGTTTCGCAATTATAACATATACCATATTTGGTATATCATGATTTGAATGAACGGCGAAAGTAAATGACCCACCCAAACATGATAATCATGACATGCGTGTCATGTACACAAGACTGCATGCTATGCTCATAGCGCACTCACGGCCATTTTGCAAGCTTCACATATACAAAATTTGGTATTACGGAACGTCAAAAGAGGACGAACACAAATGCTAGGCGCAAGCATGATAATCATGAAATGAAAGCCAAGTACGGCATAATATATGTCAGCCTTGTTGTACCGAGTTAAAAGTGTCATATCCGTCTTCCTCGTTCGTGCTTCCCATATCACCGATTGCCACTATACTTGGGGTCTGCAATTTCAATAGTAACGTTTTGTTATAAGTAGAGAGAGGCTCTGTCAAAATGGTTGCTAAACGACAAAGGAATGCTTTTGTTTACTTAGTTGTGGACAGAGTACTAGCAATATGTCTAGAGTCGTCGAAACACAGCCTAATCACGAAAATTCATTCATGCATCTTTTTTTTTTTTGCAGTTGGACCCGCAATTTCATGCAGACTTGTTTGGCGAAGACGTCGTTGCCTTTTTCGTAACATTCGTGATTGCGACAAAAGAGGCGGTTATGAGCAATGCAGTTGCGGTGAGTGCAACCTAAGAGTAGGTGAATTGAATATACCATTAAGGTGTACGCATGCTTTATACACCTTACAACGATCAGAATGATTGTAAATTTACAGAAAAAAAATCAGGTAGATATTCCGTTTCTGGCTGAAGGTGGGGAAATAAGAACAACTTGCAAACACAGAAGCTTTCCATATTTCTCTTGAATGTCTTTACACCTGCCTTGGACGCACCTCTGATTCCATTACCAGTGCCGTCGGGCACCCGCTGGCTTTTCTATTAGGGAGAGAACCATGCAACATGGCGCTGTGTACGACTCCAAGAGAAGCACGAGGCCTCTTTTTCTAGGAAGTTCAGGTGTGCTGTGAAACGTATTACATCAATTCGCGATTTCTGGGGGCACCTTGTTACACAGAAAGTGTTAAGACCAAACTGGCAAATTAACGTATGTATACAGGCGAATAGTAGAACACCCCATTGGAAGAACATTATAAATGCGAAGTGTTTCTTAGCGAACGTCGGTAATTTTGAGCATATCTATCTATCTATCTATCTATCTATCTATCTATCTATCTATCTATCTATCTATCTATCTATCTATCTATCTATCTATCTATCTATCTATCTATCTATCTATCTATCTATCTATCTATCTATCAGCTTAAGTTTGGGTGCTTTCGTGGTCACCTGCTTAACTCGGCGTGAACGAAAATTAGCATGGGAGGGAAAGACGATCTGACGAATATGATGCGCTAGTTAAGACATGAATAACGTAAAATACGGCCCCGTACGTCTTCAAACACTACTCGCCTGACATTGGCACATACCCATGGGCGGGTATGTGCCGCTGGTCCGCGGGTGTGTGCCCCAGGTAATTGACGCTTAGTATTATTTATACCCAAGAGCGATGAGAACACATATGGGCAATTTCAACGCGTGAGCGTTAAGAAATACCCGACATCGGTAGCGTTGACCCGAGAAATGCTGAAATTAAACGTGAGGGTCCCAGCTGGAATCAAACGCAAGCATTCTGCGTGGCGAAAAAAAAAATACCACAGAGCTACGCCAGGTCTCGGAAATACTTTTCAAATAGATGCTAATCTTCGAGAAACGTGAATAGTGGTCGAGAGTTTGAGAGGGCAAGAGGTCGCTTGTTTGATTATACGCGTATATATATATATATATATATATATATATATATATATATATATATATATATATATATATTGCCGTGAACGTAATAACAAACATCCACGAAACGACGTCTTGCTCGCCCTCAGAGCAGGACGCAAAAGCCCTCTTCTTTCTTCACTTCCAAGGGATTCCACTTACAGTTGATGGCTCATACCCATTACCTGTGACATTACTCCCTCTCCTTGAAAAGCATCGGCTTGATGCTGGTAATGTGCGTTGAGAAAAAAAATGAGAAAGAAAAGATGCTACCCTGGAACCCAATAACTCGGTCGTAAGGGGAGAAATGGGCTGGCGTCATAGAAGTAGTCAATAAAGAAAGGAGAAAGTACACAAGGCAATAAAAAAAACAAAGTGACAAAAAATAGTCATTGCATGGTAAGTTAGTCCACGTTCGATGGATGACGTGAGAAATATGGCTTGAGTCTTGACACGTGCACCACATCACTTTGTGGAAACCGACGGGAACGTCTTGAGGCGCCCTCAGGGAGAACTTCATACGTAACGTCACTGAGTCGGCGGAGAACTTTGTAAGGGCCAAAGTAGCGCCGAAGCAACTTCTCCGAGCGACCACTCTGTCGGATGGGAGTCCACACCCAAACTTCATCGCCTGGTTGGAAGGTAACCTCTGGGTGTGTAAGGTTGTAGCGGTGTGCGTCGGCAGTTTGGCGAGCCTGAATACGGCATCGGGCCAGTTGACGGGCCTTCTCGGCGCGCTGAGCAAACAATTCAGCGTCCGTGTTGAACGCGCTCAAGTTGTTGGGAAGGAGCATTGCGTCGAGCATTGTAGTGACCTCTCGACCATGAACTAAGCGAAATAGTGTGAAACCTGTACTCTCTTGCACTGCTGTATTGTAAGCAAAAGTTACGTAAGGGAGTATATCATTCCAGTTCTTGTGATCAACAGCCACATACATTGTCAGCATATCTCCAATGGTCTTGTTCAACCGTTCAGTGAGTCCATTTGTTTGGCGGTGATAACCCATGGTTTTCAAAGGTTCTGTACCACTTAGTCTCAGCACTTCTTGAAGCATCTCTGCGGTGAAAGCTGTACCACGATCAGTAATTATCACAGCTGGCGCTCCGTGACGAAGTACGATGCTGGTGACAAAAAACTGTGCGATTTTGGCTGCGGTAGCTTTGGGCAGGGCCTTTGTTTCGCTGTAACGCGTTAAAGAATCGGTGGCAACCGCAATTCACCGGTTTCCAGACGAAGAGGTGGGAAATGATCCGAGAAAGTCAATGCCAATTTGATGAAATTATGTCTTCGGCGTGGCGTTAGGCTGTAATAGTCGTGGTGGTCGGACAGGTGGAGTCTTACGGCGTTGGCAGTCGCGGCATGTGCGGACATACTGCTCGACTGTCTTCGCGAGGCGGGGCCAGTAGTATGAGTGGCGAATTCACCCCAATGTGCGCGTGTAGCCAAGGTGTCCGCATCAAGGTTCGTCGTGACAAGCATGTAAAATATTGTCCCGAAGCGAGATCAGCGCAACCAGTAGGTAAGTAGCATGGGTATGGTCGAAATTTTTTTTATAGAGGACTCCATCCCTGATGCAGAACGAGGACAGCGAACGTGCGAAGTTTCGGGGAAGGCTGCGTTTTCGGCCTTCGAGGTAGTCAATCAGCGGGCTTAGCTCCATGTCGTCGCGTTGTTGTTGAGCGAAGTCGGTTGCTGACACAGAGGAAAGGAATGTGTCGTCCTCTTCAACGTCCGCGTTCGTACTTCGAATTGGTGCACGTGAGAGACAGTCAGGATCAATGTTTTGGCGTCCTGACTTGTGAATAACTGCAACGTTAAATTCTTGCAGCCGAAGGCTCCAGCGTGCTAGACGACCGGAAGAGTCTTTGAGGTTGGCGAGCCAGCATAAAGAATGGTGGTCGCTAATTACCCTGAATGGTCGAACGTATGAATAAAGGCAAAACTTTGTTATAGCCCAAACAACGGCTAAGCATTCTTTTTCTGTTCCAGAGTAGTTTTTCTCTGCAGATGATAGTGTTCGACTTGCATAGGCAATCTCGCGCTCTACGCCATTTTGCCATTGAACTAGTACAGCTCCAAGTCCGACGTTGCTGGCATCCGTGTGTAGCTGTGTGGCAGCGTTATCGTCAAAGTGACAGAGTACAGGTGGGGCTTGGAGATGGTTTCGTTGCGTGTCAAAGGCCTGATGCTGATCATGACCCCAAACAAACGGTACGCCGTCTTTCGTAAGTTCATTTAGCGGTTCAGCGATTTTAGAAAAGCCTTTGACGAAGCGTCTGTAATATGCGCAGAGTCCCAGAAATCTCTAACGCTCTAACGTGTCCGAGAAGACGACCACATCGTCAAGTTAGACAAGACACGATTGCCATTTTAGCCCAGAAAGAACCATGTCCATCATTCTTTGAAAAGTAGCTGGTGCCGAGCATAAGCCGAAAGGAAGGACCTTGAACTCGTAGAGTCCGTCAGGAGTAATGAAGGCGGTCTTTTCGCGGTCGCGCTCATCAACAGATATTTGCCAACAGCCGCTGCGTAGATCCATGCAAGAAAAGTAACGAGCATTGCGAATGCGGTCCAGCGAGTCGTCTATTTGTGGTAAAGGATACACGTCTTTCTTCGTGATCCAATTCAACTTTCGGTAGTCGACGCAAAATCGCAGAGTACCATCTTTTTTCTTTACTAACACAACAGGGGATGCCCAGGGACTGGTCGATCGCTGGATGACATCGTCCTTGAGTATCTGCTGGACCTGTTGGCGTATAACGTCTTGTTATTTTTGCGAGACTCTGTAGGCATGTTGTCGAATGGGTCTCTCAGTAGGCTCGGTGCTGATACGATGCTTGGCAAGTGGTGTTTGGTTAACTTTCGAAGTCGTAGCGAAGCAGTCCTGAAATGAGCCGAGTAGCTTCAAAAGACGTTCTCGTTGTGCAGACGGTAGACCCTGGTTTACGTCGAGAGTGCTTGCAAATGTCATGGCGGAATCGTCGCACGACGAAAGAGCAGATAATGTTGAGGGACCAGGGATGTCGGCAATATCCTCAAGGTATGCGATCGCAGTGTGTTTGGTAAGATGGCGATACTCTTCGCTAAAATTCGTAACTTATAGGCAAGCCTGCTTTCTACTGGGCTGAACAATACCTCGGGCAAGGAAGATTTGTTGTGCAAAAGTAGGGATAAATTTCCTTCTGCAATTACAGCATCGGGGACGTCTTGGTCACATTAAACGTTGATAAAAAGGCTGCTGCGGGGAGGCAGAGTAATAGATTCGGATGATAAACGTAGGGCAGCCTTTGATGAGTGGGCGTTTTCCGGTTCAGGATGAATCGGGTCCTCGAACGTCACCTGCAAGTCTCGTAGGTCAGTAATTGCGCCGTGTTCGCGAAGAAAGTCCAGCCCCAGAATGAGTGGACGGGAGCACACAGGTAATACGAAGAAAGACCCTGTGAACGTCGAAGCATGGACTCGAACACGGACTGTGCACATTCCAGTCGGCGTGACGAGGTGGCCCCCTGCCATGCGCAACGGCGGTCCCTGCCAAGGGGTAGTTACCTTCCTCAGTTAGGATGCTAGGGCGCTGCTCATAAACGAATAATCGGCACCGTTGTCGACGAGGGCAGTGACGACGTGATTATCGACGTGTTCGGTGATGTCGGCGAAAACAGTCTTATGACTTTCGGAAATGACTGGAAAGTCAGTACGGTCTTCGTCGGGTCTTTGCGTCGAAGGAGGCTCTTTGACCGTTTGGACGCGGCTTCACCCCCAGGAGCCGCGGTTTCTAGTTTTCCCTGTGGGGACTCGGTGACCGGCCTCTGAAAGGAGCATAAGATGACGAGGGAATGCTAGGTGACGTG